ATAGCAAATATCCAGTATATAAGTGACTGTAAAATGGAATGTGAAAATGAATAAAATATATTTGAAAAAAAAAATAATAAAATTATCTTTCTGGCAAATATATCACTTTCTTAGGAAATTATTTGTAGACCAAATAGTTACCTCTGACATTTGTTTTAATTATTATCTTTGCACCAAACTCACAATATGCTGATGCAATTGACAGAAAGACTTCATGGAGTTTCTAGATTTAATTCTTTTATAAGCAAAAGCATATGGTTGTAACAATGGTGGGATTCAAAAATGTTTACTACCGGTTCTGTGGGCGTGGCTTGATGGGCGTGGCGTGATGGGCATGGCAGGGGAAGGATACTGTAAAATCTCCATTCCTTTCCAACTCCAGGGGAAGGTTACTGGGGACTTCGGAGGCAGAGAATAGATAGGGGCGGGGCCAGTCAGAGATGGTATTTACCGGTTCTCTGAACTACTCAAAATTTCCGCTACCGGTTCTCCAGAACTGATTAGAACCTGCTGAATACCACCTCCGCATTGTAAGCTGCCAAGAGCTATCCTGAGGTGAGGTGGGCAGCCAATACATTTTATAAATAAACAAACAAATCACTCCATCATGGTAGTGCCTTTATGTCATGTGGCATGATTTCACCTTTTGTGGCTTCTGTTCAAATTTGAAAATGGCTTGACAGTGTGCAAACACAACCACAACTTTCCATTATACATGCACCTGCTGACTTGTCGCTTCTATGCACAGAGGCAATTATGGCTGTTAAGTTTCTAGCATAGGACAATTTTCTTTACTTTCTTCAGTTTGCTCCATTCTACCTATTATAACCACCCAGATGGACTTTGTGATAGGGTGATAGACTTTGCTTGGCTATAGTTAAGTTAGTGCTATACAAAGATAATTACCAATAAATTTGACCCTTCAGAGTAGTTTTTCTTGTTTCTCCACTTTCCAGTATTTAGAAGGTTAATTCAAATTGATACCATTCAGCTGCCTCAGTTTAATAGTATGCAAACAAAAAATAATGAAATCTTTGTGTGGAGACTTTTTTTACTATAGCGTTGTTTATAAACCACTTATTGAAGGACTTGCTTCTTTTACACATGAGAAGACCTATGAATTTCTTAAAGAGATTGATGAAATAAATGGTAGAATCCTAAGATTAAATTCAATGATACCTGAGAGAATATAATACCATGTACTTCAGATCTTACCTTTGTAAGAAGCTGTAACTTCTTCATCACCATTTCATATCATTAGATGAAACAGGAACTTGTAGAAATGCTTTTACATTTCTACATATGTCTGCAAGCCACTATTCCTTTACGTTGCAGGTTCACTTGTAATGGAAACTCTTCTTTCCAGAGTCTTGCTGACCAGAACATGGACATCATGTATGATTATGAGATCCTGCCTACCCGGAAGCCTAAATTCCTGGCCCAAACAGCAGCACATGTATCTGGGGCTGCATACCTCTATCAGAGAAAAGATGTACATCAAGATTCCTGGGGAGAAAAGGTAAGCAAATTGGGAACAGCAGGGGAGGTTTTTTCTTTGAGAACTGATGGGTCATTTCTGATTTCATCAATTCAGTATGTTTTACAGATTATGTACCCGATTTCCTCTTCCATTCCACTTGTATTATCAAGCTTACATATTACACTTTGTGTATACATACGTGTAATGCAAGACTATTTGCACTCTTCCTTTGAACAGATTATAAAATTGGAGATCATTGTAATTGAGACCAATTGAGAGCCGAGGTGGCGCAGTGGTTAGGGTGCAGTACTGCAGCCACCTCAGCTGACTGCTAGTTCTGCAGCTCGGCAGTTCAAATCTCACTGGCTCAGGGTTGACTCAGCCTTCCATCCTTC